GACCACTACACTTGTAGAATGGGGGCCACCACTGCATGCCTAAGTAAGACCCTGCATGCAGGAAGCCACCTACCCACCCCATTCCCCGGCCCAAACACAGAACCACATTCAGCCATGTAACCAGCCAGCCTGAGACTGTACAGATCAGAAACCCAGGCACTCAGTTCTGCAGGAGGCGTTTCTACCTTCTGGCTGTAGAAAATCAGCTGCAACCCCCAGTTAAAGGTAAAGGTTCCCTTGCTCGAAAGCCAGTCGAATCCGACTCTAGGGCTGCAGTGCTCATCTCCGTTTCAAAGCCGAAGAGCCAGCACTGTCTGAAGAAGTTTCCGTGGTCATGTGGCCGGCATGACTAAACACCAAGGCGCACGGAACGCTGTCACCTTCCCACTGAAGTGGTACCTATTTATCTACTTTCAATTTCTTGCTTTCGAACTGCTAGGTTGGCAGGAGCTGGAACGAGAGACGGGAGCTCACTCCATCATGCGCACCCGGGTCTCGAACTGCTGAACTACTGACCTTCCACAGCCTGCAGTTCAGCATCTTAACCATCTGAGCCACCGCAGCTCCAACCCCCATTTAGTCAGTAATATATTTACTTTGGAGCAGTGGCAGCTGATGGTGAGCAGGTGACCCTGTAACACACTGTTTGTGGAGAGGGTGGAGGCGAAGATTCCCACCCAATGGGGCTTTGCACCTACTTGCTGTGCGTTAATCCAGATTACCTGGCTGCGTGCTTACCCACGGCATGGTCCAGACCCACCCATAAGCTCCTGCACGAAGTGTAGGGAGAAAAAGCCATACATGTTACATATTATATATAAGTAAATTAAACCCTAAATTTAGTAAATAATGTATATGATAATAAAATTATTTTATACCACAATTAGGGTTTAATTTACTTGCATATAATATGTATAATACTTTACCTTACAGCCAAGAATACTTACTTCTGAGGAAGCTGATTTTGCGAAACAAAGAGAAGAATCCGGAGCCTTTGTTAATTGTATTATGTATTAACTATAAATTTTGGCTACTCAATGTATTTTTTAGTTTTTTGATCTGTATTACAAGGTTACACCTGTTTATGAATAATACTGTACCACTTCATCAGCTATAGCATTTCCCTGGCTTTTATGCTATACACACTGCCATACAATAATTATTCCAGGGATCATTTCCTGCAGGAGCGCACAGGAGCGGAGCTCCGGCAGTAAAGAGCCCAGGGGGCGGGCACATGCAACAAGCCCCACCCCCTGCTCCCATCAGCCGTCAATCAGAGCAAGAAGCAGCCAGGTAAGTTGTAGAGCTCCCCCCCCCCAGTCCAAAACAGTCCAGTGGCACCTTTAAGACCAAGTTTTATTCAGGTACAAGCTCTCTCTCCTGTGTGAAGGCCGATCTGCGCATTCCCCCCCCCCCAATAGCTAGCAATCCAAAACAGTCCAGTGGAGCCTGAGTGGTGGGTGTTGCCTTCTGACACACTTACGGGTGATGTCAGGGGGTGTGGCATATGCAAATAAGTTATGCTAATAAGCTCCTGCACCTCTTTTTCTATGAAATGACCCCTGATTATTACCACTTACTCCAGAAAATGGCAGCTTTGGAGAGTGATGTCTTTGGCATCACATTCCTTCGACGCTCCCTCCCCAAACGGCACCCTCTCCTGACACCATCCCCAAATTTCCAGGAATTCCCCAAGGCGGAGTTGGCAACACTGCTTCAGACACCAAGCAAGGAGGAGAGGAAAGAGGCATAAAGGAATGGTCATTTAAGGGGCTTGTCCTACACTGATAGGCAGGAACTAGGTGGGAGGCAGCCCTCTTTGGGGACTAGAAAGGGGGTCTGCACAGTTGGACATGGAGAGCAAAATCAAAGCACCACACATTAGAAATATTCTGTGCATGCCCTTGCAGCAATCTTCTTAACACCCCTGTAAGGTAGGCAAATGGGTGGGTCCAAGGCTAAAGGGAACGTCTCCAAGACCATTTTATACCACGCAGAGGTGACCTCTCGCATACCACTGAAGTGAGAACTCTCCAGCAGGGCTCTCCAGATATAATTACAGCTTACAAACCAAGTACACGGTAGACGGTTACAAACGAAATCTGAACGCCACTTTGCATGACTCAGCAACAGATTCAGACAGAGACAAGGTATTATGCAAAGTTAAAGCATTTAGCAATTGCCCGGTTAGACACCCTTCCCCCCACCAAGCAGCAGACAGCCGCTGCAGGCTGCAAGTCGCTTTGCCTCACTGGTATCAGACTGCCTCTAACCAAGGAAGCTCCGCAACTGGCCACTGCCAACGTCCGTGGCTAAACCTATATCCGTGCCCAGTTAGTAGGCTCTATTTAAGATATTGGCACTCACACACAACGTCCTTCATGGCCTTGGGCCCTCCTATCTGTAAGACCGCCTCTTCCCCCACACGCTGCCACGACAGCCTCGCTTATCTGAGCAAGGCCTTCCGCAGGGGCCAAGCTGCAAACGGGCAAAATCAACAATGGCCTGTACACCTGCCTCCTCTGTGGTGGCCCCGCCTTGTGGAACGGCCTTGCTAAGGAGGGCAGGGAGGCTCTGACTCCCCTGGCTTTCCACCAACCCTGCAAAACTGAATTATTCAATGTGGCTTTTCTACAAACGCAATGAGTTGCCCCGTACACAATGAGTCACAAAGGTACCTGGAAAAATTATTAGGGAGTGCGGTCTACGCTACAGTGGTTAGCTTGCTGAAAACCCAGGATCCTGCTATGTAATCTCTGGATCGTTTAAAGTGTCAAGTTTAGACGTATGCTTTGCTTCAGTTCTGTTTTTAGATTTTTGGTTGGTTCTGCAACTCTAATTCTACCGCATTATCTGTTGAATGTCCCATCCACTGATTGGATTGACTCAATCTGTGGCATTTGCCTTGAGACCAAGTAAGAAAGGGAGACTATAAGTAACATAATAAAATAATTTTTGGGGAAAGGCACTAAAATACCCATAATTCCTACATTCTACAGGAAACATTTTGAACACCTTTACAGTTTGGTGCAATGATTAAGAGTGGCAGACTCTAATCGGGGAGAACCGAGTTTGATTCCCCACTCCTCCATGTGCAGCCAGCTGGGTGACCTTGGGTCAGTCACAAGTTCTCTCACAGCCATTCTCTCAAGGGCAGTCCTCGAAAGAGCTCTCAGTCCCACCTACCTCACAGGGCGTCCGTTGTGGGGGGAGGAAGGGAAGGAGATTGTAAACCACTCAGACTCTGAGTGAAGGACGGGTATAAATCCAATCTCCTCCTCCTCTTATAAAGTAGGACAGTGTTAACCCCACATTTTACAGACTGACTGGCTTTCTCAAGCAGCTGGGAGCAACATCTCCACCCCATGGGGTCAGAAGCTCTGCCCTTTTGAACTTCAGTCCGCACTCTTAACCACCACGCCAAGTCGGCCACCCCAACCGCCTTGTTCCATAAGCTCTTCTAACCACAACCGTGAATACCCACATTACCCACCTCCCTAAAGCAGTTCTCAGAATCACAGCGGTTTCCAAGCACTGTTGCTCCCTGGGCTCCGTCCCAGACAATCACAGGCTGACCCAGGACAGCTCAGTCCTCTCCTGCAGTGGGAAGCGGAGCTGAAAAAAACATGTTTCCCCCCACCCCAGGTTTCGTCACAGCCGCATTCCAAGCCTGCTAGAGATCAGCTGAGGACACACCTCAGTTCTCTCCCCCCCCCCTGCAGGAAACCCACAGCCAAGGGAGGGCTGCTCGGAAGTGGCTCCCCCCCCCCCCCCCCCACTCAAAGAGACAGACAATTACTCATGCAGACTTCATCCATCAAAAAGAGACAGCTACACACACGGTAAGCCAGTTTCTCCCCCACTGGTTCTCAACAGCTTCCCCCCCCCCTCCGCCCGTGCAGTCGAGGCCGCTTCCTCCAGTGAACAACAGGCACCAACCGAGCACAGGGTCACATCCAGGACAGGGAACTCACACCCATTTCTAGTTTGGGGAACTCACCGCCACAAGATCCGGCTGCTCCTAATTGGTTTGTTTCTCGTACGGCAGAGTTACACAGAGGAAGCACACAATGCTATAAAACGGGGGAACCCAGATGCTACAACGGGTTTGCTACTGAGTCGGCTGTACAAGGGGCCTGAGCACACGCGTGGAGAAGAAGCCTCACAGTAGCTACTGGTCGGCCACCAGGGCCAAAGAGCCTCCATGCTCAGAGAGAGTATAGGTAAAGGTCAAGGTCCCCTTGCTCGAAAGCCAGTCGAATCCGACTCTAGGGTTGCGGTGCTCATCTCCGTTTCAAAGCCGAAGAGCCAGCGCTGTCCGAAGACGTTCCCGTGGTCATGTGGCCGGCATGACTAAACACCAAGGCGCACGGAACGCTGTTACTTTCCCACCTATTTATCTACTTGCAATTTCTTGCTTTCGAACTGCTAGGTTGGCAGGAGCTGGAACTAGAGACGGGAGCTCACTCCGTCTTGCGGCACCCGGGTCTGGAACTGCTGAACTACCGACCTAGTATACCTTGTCATAAAAAGCCCAGTAGCACCTTTAAGACCAACGAACTTCGTTGTAGTATAAGCTTCCGGGAAACACAGCTCTCTTCGCTAGACTAACGCGGCTAACTCCTCTGGATCTATGCCTTACAATAAGACTTGCTCGGAAGAGTAACTGCCGGGGGGGGGGGGGGGGG